AAGATTTCTATTTTAAATAAATGCTGTTCTTTTGAACTTTCTGTTAATCAAAGCATGATTCCACAATAAACTAAAAAAAAATTAAAGTGTAGGTGCATTACCTTCAAAGCCTTTAGATGTCTAGACAGCTGAGAGGAACCGAGGGCACAATGGACCCCCGAGCTTTCATCCTCCAGTTGTCTCTCTACATGTTTGAGCCAGGAGGTCAAGTTGACCAAGATATGACTGTGAGACTGGTTTGTCAACAGCTAGAAGGAGGGCAAGAGGATGCTTACTTAAACAATATCTGTTTGCCAGAGTTTCGCTTCTAATAGATCGATGAGGGAGAGAGAAAAAGAGAGAGAAACTTAAGAGAGACACATTAGTCGTACTTGTTGCTGTGTCTGGCTGAGGGTGGGCAGCTCGCTAGTCAAGTTCATCCATTCCTGCTCAAGTTGAGCCAGTCGTCGGTGCAGACCTGGAGCTTCATTGTCAGTCAGCTGCAGTATCTGTGTGCCTGCACATTCTGCAGAAGCTTTCTGTGCCGAACGGACCTCCAGCTCCTTGAAGAACTCCTGCAACATGCAAACAAAGCCACATTCTTATTTTTGCATTTTGGGCATGATGCACATGTTTCACATGGTATAAAAAAATAAATAATATAAACACAAATCAAATTCTAGTCACCGTGAGCTGGGTCAAGATTGTTCTGGAATTCAGTGGATCAGAATCAGACAAACTGTTCCACTTCTGAACCTGTTCTTGAGCACGACATATCCACACCTCTAATTCTGTTGAGTTACACTGGAACCTACACATATAAGCGCACAGAAATACACACCTTTATTTATAACCTGATATAACAATGTGGCCTCTAAACAAAGGGATTTTAAACGTTTTAATACCCTGGACATCCAAATATGATGATCCATTTGTGAGAGGAAAATGATACCACTTCATTCCTCCAACAAAATTGCATTTTTACAAACATTTTTTATGTATTATTTGATTACTGTTTTTCTCACACCTCTCATAATTTTTTGAGATCTTCTGTGTGGACTGTATCTTCTGCTGTAGTCGATTATGAAGCTCCATCCAGTGTATCAACAGCTGTGATTTTGGTACAGGCTGGCCTGGC